GGGGGGGGGGGGGGGGGGGGGGGGGGGGGGGGGGGGGGGGGGGGGGGGGGGGGGGGGGGGGGGGGGGGGGGGGGGGGGGGGGGGGGGGGGGGGGGGGAGAAATATACGTACTGAATACAAGTTAATAATGAAAGCTGCTCTAAGGTCTTACTGAATAAGATAAGAAGTACAATAGAATCATGGCAGAGACAAGGAATCTGTCTTCACTCAAATATTACATTTTCCCCTTATAGGGTCAAACTGTTGTTTGTGAAAGGGAAAAATGAGTAGGGAGTATGACAACTCTTTTCAACAACACTACTGTATACAAATGTCACAATTCTTGAATACGGGTTACAATGTGAAATGGTTGAGACTGCTGAAAGACAAATTTTTACTTACGGTCTAAGTCTGTTTTACAGACACCAGTGTAATGTACCACCATAATTAATAACATACTATCTTTAGGAGCACACTGGGAGAGATATAAGAAAAAACTAAATCAAACACCTCACCTACTGGTATCCCTTAATGACTAATCTATAAAGAAGGCAATAAATAAACATAAGAAAAATATTTTAAGATATGTCGTGGCTATCATTAACTCTTGATAACTTGGGGCAACCTTAAACTGGGGACTTGGAACAGCTGCCTTACAACCGCTTGGAGTCCTGGCTAAAATGCAGATTCCTGGGCCCTGTCCCAGGTGTACTAAAGCTCAGTTTTGGGGGGCAGGCTCCAGGAATATGAGTTTTACATAAACTGCCACGTGATTCTTTTGGATAGAAAAACCTTAGTGATTTTGGAGCTATAGATTTTTCATTTTCTGCTTTTTGGCCACTGTACTACTCATTAGCTATCGGAGGACAAGTGACCTTGCTAAGAAAAGCAAATGCAGCTCAGTTGGTTAGAGCACAGCCTTATATCTCCAAGGTCATGCGTTCGGATCCCCATATAAGCCAGCCATCAAAAGAAAAAAAAATACAAGCAAATGCCCCTTAGTTTCTTTATTGTTAAATCTGAACTTCCATCATAAATCATTACTTGATTTTTCTCAGAGGGCACAAGAAATTTTTCCTGGCCTTGCATGAACCTAGGATTCCCATAGCTAATTCCTCTAATCTCCATTAAAACACATTAAATCTTGACCTTTTCCTTTCGCAGTTCATTCATATACTGGTTTAATGCCGTCCATTCTGCCCTTTGTATATACTTTATTTATGTATCGATTTATTAGTATTGTCTTAAATAATAGCTTCAAGATTTTAATAATGTATAGTATATCTCATATTTTAATATGAATATCTAACAGGAAATGAAGATATTCAGCCACACATTTAATAAATGCTTTTTGATGATAATGGAACTTCTCATTTCTGTATTACTCCTTATCAGGTGGTAACTGTAATTTGGAAAATAGCAGATTGACACAATGACCAAAACTTTGTAGATCTCAACAAGATTGTTCTGTTCTCAAAGAGCAGCTTTTTCAAATAGCAAGACGCAAAGGTAAGACTAAGTCTTTCAACAGTATACTCTTTGCCCTTCTGATCTTACCACTCATTTAGAAAATCAAAACTAAATGTCATATAATCTCACAGTAGATATGCTTTATTAATTGAGCTTTAAAAGTGTTAACTACATAAGAAACACTACTGGTTTTTGAAGCGAATTTCATAAAACTTGTGCTCTTTTAATTGACTTTTTCTTAATGGGGGCCATTTTCTGTTGATGTGTTTGAAACCATTTTGTATTAAGTGTTCAATTAACATTTCTTCTTTATACCATTACATACTCCTGAATATTAATAAAGGTTTACTTTTTCTTAGATGATTCTTCTATTATTTCTTTACCTGGTATTTAATGTAAAAGAAATTTCAATTTTGAAGAATAGGAGAAATAAACTATTCCAAAACAAGGCAATAGGAACTTTATCCATTAAATGGTTAGAAAGAATACACAAATGCTTACAAAAAGTCCTCTCAGAAAAAAAAAATCCTGAACAATTAAACAGAATATAGGCCAGCCAAGGGTAATTCATCATATTGAAATTTTTAATCTCTTAAAATACTATTAGTCAAAATGCTTTTCATAGTTGGTGTTTTAAAAATCCTAAACTCACTCTCTCTAAAAAAAAGTACAAGGTAAATCTATTTTTTGACTAACAAACAGTTCTCACTCTGTCACGATTAGTACATGAAGTTAGGCAACTCTGAACAATGGCAGATCAGTTCTTCTGATGTCAAGTCCAGTGTCCTTCCATAGATACTAAAGAATCTCATTCCAATCTCCCATTTTTCCCCTGACACCCATTTCCAAACAGATGAGGAACTTAAAGCCCACAGGGAGAAGTTATAATTTGCCCAAGATTACCAAGCCTAATAATGGCAGAGCTAGGTCTAAAACCCAAATCACCTGTAGCACTTTCTACATGGAACTTATCCCACTCCTGTGATAACTGAAAATTTTTTTTCTTAAAGGACTGTCTGATGGCCTTCCCCTTGATTCTAAATTTATTTTCTATAAATGATAGTTATATAAGAAAGGTTACACAAAATACAGCGTGTAGATTTTTTAATGGCAGAAGTATATCATGAGATGGTTTGCAATGAATTCCCTTAAGTTCACAGAGGAGTAGGCAACCACATGGTTGAGGGATTATTATTTTTATCTTCACTTTCATTTAAAGCCACTGGCAGACAAAGAGGGCAAACGTATTAATCACATTTTCGGCTGCCTTTTAGAGAACAAATGACTTGGATCTCATGCTTCAGATGTTTGGTGGTAAAGATATTCCTGGTCTAAGAAACAGATGCTGCATTTAGTCCCACGTTGGTTGTCTAACAGCTTTTTATTAACTGCAACCAGCTTTACGGGACTGCTGTCAAAATGAAATTTGTATGTAGAACCCAAACTTCCTCCCTTTCAATTAAAAAAGTCCAGGGCTGGCCCCGTGGCTCACTCGGGAGAGTGCGGCGCTGGTGGCGCCGAGGCCGCGGGTTCGGATCCTACATAGGGATGGCCGGCACCCTCACTGGCTGAGTGTGGTGCAGGTGACACCGTGCCAAGGGTTGCGATCCCCTTACTGTTCAAAAAAAAAAAAAAAAACCAACGTCCAAATCCACTGCTTTATAAGATAGTTCTTCCTGGAAATTCATGGAATCCAGTGAAATAAAATAAACTATCAACCACCTCATAAAAGTTATCTCTCCAAATTGCCAAGATATTACAAAATGTGGATATACTCTGTGTATCTTTCAGGAATGACCAGCGTGATAAGAATGGTATAAAATGGGGAAGAGGACCTTAAGTCAACTAATGAACCAAATATACCATCAGAAAAAAAAAAGGGAGGGCATATATTATACAGGTTATTATTTCCAAAGAAAACAATGAATTAAAGTTATATATTCATACCTATACAAGTTACCTCCACACCATGTGTTACTCAACCTACCTATGTATATTATCTTGGCCAGAAGGGACTACACCTACGTTGGCTACATTTACAACCTTCTGAAGGATCACAGAGGGAGTGAAATTCTGTGGTGCAGTAATGATCACTGTAGATGTTTCATTCATTCCTGTTAGCATTCCTGTAAAAGCAAAAGAAGACTTCCTTTCACTAATTTCATTATGAAAATCACATTTAAACAATTTTAAGCTCATAGCCAAAATTTAAAAACTTTTTTCAATCAAAGAAATACCACTTTAGAATGTAATTTGTAAGATAATTATCATGAAATTAAGACAAACTGCAACTCTTGGAAAGATTTTTTAAAATTCCCATTGCACAGGAAAATGTGTAAAAATACAGTAAAAAAAAATTCACTCAATGACTCTAAAGTACTAAAGGATAAAAACGCAGAATCACACATATGAAATTTCACTTTCAGTCCCTTTAAAATATACTGCATCTGGGCTAGGGAAACTATTAAACTGCCACTTCTTAAGAATATATATTTATTATTGTTATCATTTTTTCTATTCATTCAAAGACCTCTCACTGCCAAACGCTGCTTGAGAACAAATCAAAGTGATTCTGGAATAACTAGCAGCATCACCTGATGAATGACCTCAATGTGATAGACCACAGCTATCTCAACAATGATTGGAAGTCACTGAGCAATTGTTTCTAGAAAACGTACAAGTATTTAAGTTACACTTAATGATTAACAGTATTTGCCTAGTGAATGGAACTACAGTTGCCAACAAAAACACTAACTGAAATTTCTGAAGGAAAAAGTTTGAAAACAAAGAAAAAGATGTGAATGAAAAAAATCTTACATTCCAGAGACACTTCAAATAATAGTTAGGAAAGAAACTAAGTTAAGAAAAATCATGAACAAAAACCATACGGTTAACACAAGACATGCCATTAATATCAGAATCTCATGTGAAAATGTTTAGTGAACAAATTCATCAATATACCAAAAACTTGAACAAATATTGAAATTTAGTACCCAGGTTAAAAAACTTTTTATTAAAATTAAAAATTTTTTATTTTTTATTGAAACTTAATTGATTCTACATATTTGTAGGGTATGCAGTTAAAAATCAATACCTGTGTACAATGTGTGATGATCAAATCAAGATAATTATGATATTCATCATTATAAAACGTAATCATTCTTTGTTGCCATTAGCCAATAAATACCAACTATTTCAATCTGCGATATAAGTCATGGATACATAATGGTATCTATTTTAAAAATGACCTTTGGAGACATTTAATATGTGCACAATAGTTTACAAAATTTATGAAAATGGTAAAATTTGATTTCATGTTTTCAAAAGACATTACACCTTCAGGCCTATATATTTAATTTAGTTATTTGTTGCAAATGCAACCTGAAATTTTTAAAACTCCCTATGATTAACAGTATTAAGACAATGAAGCCCAACAATGTAAAAAGACATATGCCATCAGAAAATACAACTATCTAGGGCCGGCCCGGTGGCGCACTGAAAAGTGCGCCGCTTGGGAAGCGCGGAAGCGCTCCCGCCCGAGGGTTCGGATCCCACATACAGACCGGTTCCCGCTCACTGGCTGAGCGAGGTGCGGGAGCAACACCGAGGGTTGCAGTCCCGTTGCCGGTCCCCGGTCCAGTGCGGGGGCAACACTGAGGGTTGCGATCCGTTGCCGGACACGGAAAAAGACAAAAGACAAAAAAAAAAAAAAAAAGAAAATACAACTATCTAGCTTCTAACAAGAAGCAGTTTTTACTGACCACTTTCAAACTCCAGGAACACTGTGTTCTGTCTTAAACTGTTTAACTTCAATATAAGGCAAAAGCTTTAAAAACTACACAAGCAGTCAAACACTGCTTTTAAGTAAAGCACAGTGGCTGACATAACACTGCTGAGAGATGTGTGTACTCATTTAGGATTTAAACCTTCTCCATTAAGCTCTATTGAAGAGCAACTGCTGAATAAATGAATGCAACTATGTTTATGTTAAAAGCCTGTTTCCCGCAGCATGTAATTAAAGGAAATGTTGTACAAAGCCAGTACTTTTGTCAAGCTCCTGTAAATGGAAAGATGGATAGCACTCAGAGAAGTGAATGCATTGCTTCATATTTAACCTTAACACTCTTGTCATTAATGGTTTGTCTAACTTGTTCTATAAAAGACAAGGTACTGCTCCATTGAAGTAAAATTAAAAAAAAAATCAACTAAACCATGCTTTTCAGAACAGAAGATTCATTATCGTCAGCTAATGTATTGGCATAAAGCAAAGTAACATCCTATCAAGTAAGGCACACATTCAATCTGCCTTCCCACCCCCCTTTATTTTTAACTCATGCTGTTTTATTGTTATAGGCAATTTGTACCACTCAGCATGACAGTGTAAACTGAATCAAGATTAATTTACATGCAAAAGAACACTTAGGAGAGCAGCATGGTAAGCAAATGTATTGTCTCGATTGCTGAGGTGGAAAAAGAACCTGGAAAGAAAAAAAGGTGCTCTAATTAAGGGGCATCAAATATGATTGCTTGTGGTAGTTAAGGGCCAGAAAATAGTAAATGCCTGACCATTTAAAGAATTAGCATCTTGCTAGCTAGGAACCCATAAGGTAGATGCATAAATCATAATAAAATTAAGTAAACATTTTAGGTATCTTAAATCAGAGATTTTTCTAAATGAAAATATATCAGATATTTTCACTTTAACAATAATGAAAAAATATGCCGAAGTATCATTAAAAGTTTCTCCTATGAAAAAAGACTTTAAAACACGGTATAGCCTGTTCATACATAATAAAGGTTAAAATTACTGGGAAGGGCCGGCCCGGTGGTGCACTGGAGAGTGTGCCCAAGCGGCGCTCCCGCCGAGGGTTCGGATCCCATGTGAAGACCGATTCCCGCTCACTGGTTGAGCGCGGTGCGGGCGCCAACACCGAGGGTTGCGATCCCGTTACCGGTCAGTAAAAAAGACAAAAAAGGAAAAAAAAAAAAAAAAGAAAAATTACTGGGAAAATACTTTAAATTGTCAGTCTAAATAATTTGTGGCTTCTTAGGATTTATCTAAATTTTGGTGAGAGTACTGGACAGCACTTACTTTAGGTTAATCAGCTGTGATTCACTGCTAAATGCAAAACAAATAATATAAGAAAATAAAATTTAAAAAAAATTGTCTAAGTTTTAGATTTGCAATTCAATTCACAAGAAGAAATGAATAAAAGGAGGCAGCTTGGAATAAGCTATCGGTTTAGGTCTCTTAAAATTAAAACTGTCTGAAGAAAACAAATTAAATGTTTTAAGTAAAAAAGAGATCCCATGCTATTTATAGTACTGAAAGCATCTCACAGCTAGATCATTAACTTTGTAATGCTCAAAACTCATAGCAGTGAATACATCACACTTCTGTTGAAGGCTCATATTATGTATATTACAGATACCTTCAATATAGAGGATAAACCAGTCTTTCGATTAGCTCATTGACTACCAATGTTACAAACAAGCAATGTTTAGCCATGAAACCCTAAAATGCAACAATTGAGAAAAAGCGATAGATCAGGCTGTATATAAAAAATAAAACTTTTTTGTTTTAAAAATAATAATCTAATATGTAACAATCTGTTAGAATCACTTTTATTTAATATTGTACACACTTTTCAATTATATAAATCTTTAGAATAAAAATAGAACCATATTCCCCATGTTTCTTATTTATAATTTTTTCAGTTAAATCCTAATTAATACATTTAATGCACTTTTTTTTTTTTTTCTTTTTGTCTTTTTTCGTGACCGGTAACGGGATTGCAACCCTCGGTGTCACACCCGCACCGCGCTCAACCAGTGAGCGGACTGGTCTTTATATGGGATCCGAACCCTCGGCGGGAGCACTGCCACACTCCCAAGCACCGCCGCACTCTACCGAGTGCGCCACCGGGCTGGCCCTTTAATGCACTTCTTGAGTCTTAAAATATATGCCCTGTAAAATGAGATATTATGTAAATTCATTGTATTTAAAGTAGAAAAATAGGTTAAAGCTAACATGTGATCACACACACACACACACACACACACACACACACACACACACACACACTTCTTAAACTTACTTGCATTTTACCTTCCAGAACTTTGCATTGATAAAATGTTAGGAAACTGATTTTTATTCTGATTTGGGATTTATAGTTAGCAAGTCATTTTTAGGCACCTTTTGTGAAATAAGCTAAGCTCTTCCTAGAGGAGTATAACAAACAAACACATGTGTAAAGTTGAGAACTGAGACCTCTACTACCAAATCTGCTGAAATCTATAACTAAAAAGATGCTATTGAAAATACTCTTTAAACCTGTGGTAAATTTGCCAGCATCAAGTCCCACATCAAAGAATGAATTCAGGAAGACAGAAAGAATGATAAAGAAATGCCAAGAGACTTACAAGGATTTACAAATACTTCATATAAACAAATTTTCAAATAGCTTTATTCAGAGTAGCCTTTCTGCTCTATTAAACATAGCAAACAGCTGCCAGATTTATTCAGACAAATAATCAACAACCATAGAAGTAAAATGGCAGAAGAAAAAGGAATTTTGGCAACATTTCCACAGAGGATCACAGCTATTCTCCAAGTGCACGTCTCTCATGCACATACGGTTCTGTATGGCTAGTCATCGAAAAACCCCTCAGTCACAGCAGAGCACAAAAAATTTGATCGAAATATCAAGTATTATAAAACAAAAGCTGAGGGTATACAATAATCTCCTGCTTTAGATATATTTTAGCTGCACTTTTCAAAAAAGGAATATCCCCTTAACAATAAATGTGCCCACGCCTTATGCAGTCACTGGTGTGCCACTCACCTTGGTTTGCTGAGCAGGTGTAAAGCAGAGAGGCAGGCTTTAGCCAGCGAAGCATAAGAATAGCAAATATAAGATCAATTCAATTTGTCAATAGAAAAATAAAATCACAAAGATAATTTTCTTCTATAGCAATAATCAACTTCAGAGGAAAGCAAATGCGAAGATGAATTTAGTCATTCTTCTTTATCACTTAAAAATATGGCCCAAGAAAGAAAGACTACTATTAATTTACAGTCTTGTATGAAATTTTTTTTGTGGGATTCTTCTATAATACTTTGTTTTGATATGGTGGATCGCAAAAGCTTAAGAGTAAAAAGAAATCTTCGGCACTAAAATAATAAAGTGCCAGGAAGCATGTCCCTCTCCTTAGGCAAAAGTATTTGTGTGTGCCTACTATTTTCTGGAAGCTTGATGGATACGATTTAAGACCTCGAAATAAAGGAATCTTTGACAATACTCTCAAGAGAAAAAAATAGCTTAGATTCACACGATGTTTTTAAAATTGCTGACTTTAGCATTTAAATATGCCCTAGTTTATAAATGTTATCTTTAAACACATAAAATCAGACAGTTATTTCCCCTTACTCATATTCAAAAAAACCCACTAACCCCTCATTTTTATAGAAGGTATGCTTGACACCAAGGCCAGTTCAGGATATTAATACTTGCATTCTACTGAAAATATTTTTTTAGGTGCATATTTTTAAATGTTTCAGCTCTGATATATTCTGTATTCTGACAACATAGCATTTCTTTAATATAGAATTAGGCCAAAAGAAAATAAAGGTATTTTAATGCTATAATTAGGACTTTATTTTACAGGGTACTCAAATGTGTGCAGGGAAGAATACATTTGTAGGACAGAAAAACAGTTTGGTGATGAAAAAGAAATACAGAAAACATAACATTTATAGTGGCAGGACACTGGTAAGTCCTCAATTCCTGTCATTTTCACTAATACAAAACATATTAGTATATCATCAAGTTGACAAACCACAGCTCTAAGGATTAAAAAGTTAAGAATCAATTTATTATTTTAAAGACATGTTAATCAATTTTCAAGTATGCCAGAAATGTAGACAAACATATACTTTTAAGGTTATTTTATAAATGCAAAGCATTAATAAAAATTGGAAGATTATGCACTGACATATGTTAATGGCTATGTATTTATGCTAATTTATTTTAGAGACAGGCCAGAAGAATGAGCATATATTATACGGTATGCAAATTTCTAGTAAATTGTAGTAATCTCTCACCTTGCTCTTTCTTAAAATCTTTCTCTGACATGGCCACAGGTAAAAGCAGTTCTCCAACAGGTGGCTGAATATTAACATTGAAGCAATCATCCTTGGTACTAAGGAAAAAAACAATCAAAGCTAACTACATGCTTAACAAATAAACATTCTTAATACTATAAAGTTAAACAGATGCACTTAAAGCATATGTCAGAATATAAAGTATAAGAAATACTGCAGCTAAAAAGGGTTGAAAATTTTCTCAAACAACACTATTTGCAGAGAAATACATCAGTTACTTGAATCAGAATTTTTCTTTATAAAACAGTTATAAAATCGTGCCATTTGACATAAAACTTTTAAAAACAGCAGCAGTTATATAACCACTACCACCAGAGGAACACTTCATGCAGCTTACAGTAGAGAAGTAATATTTTATCTTCACTTTGCATAAAGTTTAGAAGATGAAGTGCTTCAGTCTTAGTTAAGCTCTCTTTCTTAAAACATTAAACTAATTTTTAATAATAAATAAAATGGGGTGACTATACTGTGTTTAGACATGTGCTAATAAAATAGTATCTCATCTGCAAACTTGCTTTCTTAAAAAAAAACCACCTTATTTTCTAGTAGTGTTATTCACTGATACTGTTGATCATATGTGGTAAAAGTTATTATTTCAAATGACAGGATATGAAGAATTTACGAAGCCAATTTCTGTTCTAGTATCAGAAAAACAATACTGAATGCATTTATTTCACTTAAATCTCACAACATTACTATCAATAAAATATTACTACAACTGTTTTAAAATTTTTTTAGGTTAGATGAATGAAGTTAGCTTGATCGGTTAAAAATGTATTTTTGCTGCAAATAAGCAGAAAATCAGTTTCTTGACAAATAGGCATTTATTGTTTAGAACATAAGAAGTCTTGGAATTAACAAAGTCTTGTTAAGTGGCTTAAAGAGGCCTTTGGGACCCAGATTTCTCTAGCTCTCTACTCTGCCGTTAATAGGCATTTATTGTTTAGAACATAAGAAGTCTTGGAATTAACAAAGTCTTGTTAAGTGGCGTAAAGAGGCCTTTGGGACCCAGATTTCTCTAGCTCTCTACTCTGCCGTTCTTAGCATACTGGCTTTCATCCTCACACTTGCCAGATGCCTGCTGCATCTGCAAGTACCACGTTGACATTCCAATCAAAGGGGGAAGAGTGATGGTGAGGAGTGGTAAATAATTGAGCCAACCGAATCTGTTCCTCTTTATCAGGAAAGCAAAGGTTTTCCTGAAAGTCTCACAGAGGGACTTCTACTTTCCTGTTAGAACTAGATGTCATGGCCGGTGGGAAAGTGGCTAAGGAGATGGGGATTGTGGATAAGAAAGAGCCTTAAATTTATTCAAGGGTGGGGTAGGGACAAATAATATAGTATGAAGAAAGGACATAAAATCCATTTGTATGTTATTATGTACTGTATTCTCATAAGCTGCCTTATATTTTTCAACATGTGGATTGTCCAAGGCAAACCAATAAATTCATTTATTAATTCAATAAACATTTACTGAACTACAAACTTGATTCTATGTACTGTGGGAGTATAGGGGGATTTAAAGCCAAGTGAAATTGGCCCTTGAAGCTCACCAGTCTAGTGGAGGGAAAGAAATTATGTTTATAATGGAATGATAAGTGCTATATTAGAGATATGGAAAGCATTTTAGTTCATGGAAGAGGAACTAATTTGTTCTGCAGGAGTGAGGTGAAGATATGTTTATTTCCAAGAGGAGAGAGAGAGAGAGAGAGGGCATTCTAGGCCTGTGTTTTGGCAATGGTGAGCAGCGTGGGGTGTCAACAGATGAGGCTGGGAGTGCGCTGTAAAGAGTATCATGTTATAAAAATTGTGACTCTAACCCATATTATTGCCTATGTAGCTTTAGCCTGCACAAA